TATCTTGCATGCCCCACACCTCTCCCGTCGTCCTTCTGGCGAAAGACAATGCCCTGCATGGAGGCGATGCGGATTGGTCAGGGTACATCTTTTAGTGTGGCACATATGCTCTGTTATTGGAATTTCGTGCATGCTTTTGGTACCCTGAACTTTAATGGTAATATGACACATGGTTCAAATCAAAGTGAAACATGTGATTCCTTGGTAATACTTCTAATTGAAACGGTTTTACCTTGTTACTCATCTGTGAAACTGGGTAGTGTACTGGTTGGGCTTGGTGAAATTGTTATGTCAATCTTCCATAGTCATTCTTTCTGCCTTCATAAGCTTTAAACTTATGTGTTAAAAAAAGTTGTCCCAGTTGAAGTTCACGGAAAGATTTGATGAGCTACTTGTATTTGCAGGCATGGGAAAAATGGCGAGGTCAAGTAAGTAAACTGGAGTGCAGTGCATTTTGGATTCAGTGCAGTCACCAAAAAACTCGTGATGGTTTGAAGAATCTGCTTCACATCATGATGGGAAACATAAAGGACCTCACTGCTGCTACTTCCCATTGGCTGGAGCTATTCGCTTCTCATTTTCTTTACATAAGGCCATTTACAGTGGTTCGTCTCATATCCATGCACTTGCTCTTGTATTGTCAGTTCCAATGCTTTGTGGTTCATTTGCTTGAGTAACTCTCAGTTTTCCTAAATACTTCTGTGACATTCCTTGATTCCCAATTCTTGCGTAAAGATGTGCCAGATGCCCTTATTTCCCTATTACCTAAGGTTTTGCGTGCAGTTTCCTCCCATGGTCTTCAGTTTCATGATTGCTATTAGAGCAACCCCTTGTCGACAAGATCATTTTACAATTGAATGTTTGCTCTAATCTGTTGCATGACCCCAGGACCCATTGTATGAATGCCACCACCCCCTCTAAACAATGACCAGCTATCATGGTTACTTAGAGCTCTCACTGTCACAGTTCTATTGGCTAGGGCCTAGGGCACAACAACTGCATCTAGCCAACATGGGCTCAAGTCCTCATCTTCTTTGGAATGAAAAGCTGGGGAATGTGGTCACACCTCTTGGTCTCATTCTTTTATTATGGCAATTGTTTTTGAATTGTCTTTGTGCAATAATTTGTGCTTTTAAGATGGCTAAATATTTACCCTGACTGAATTTCCTCAAACCTCTTATCACTCGTATGATGCAACAGTTAGCTTTTAATTTAATATATACATGTGAACAGTTCATCAAGGAGTCTTTGTGCAACAGTTTAGCCTTTTCTCTCCATTATTTTAGGGCTTTGAAGGGATGCATCACTTAGCGCAGAAATGCATACAGCTTAAGCCGTCTTTCGACGCTAATGGATTAACAGGCCTCCTGAACGGCATCCTTTCAGAAAATCCAGAGGTTGGCATGCAACATTAACCTGGCAGACTCCATATAACCCTTGTCTTTCCTTTCTTGGTGATGTAACATTTCTTTTTCATGGTTAGGTTGTCTTGGCGGAATGCACAAAAAAATTTGGGCCTTGGTAAATGGACAATCTGTTACTCGGAGTATTTGATTTTCTACCTACTGTCAACATTGAAACACTGTGGCCTAATAGATTTTGCCATCTGTGACCACAGGATGGTTACACACTGTATGGAACTGTTGGCAGCTGATAATGACTATGCAGATATTATGTTGCATGAAGAACGACCTAACTTTGGTGGCATAAGCATAGAAGAACTACACCGGCTAGTCTACGCTCAAGTTTTGTGTTCTCATTCTTTAACTTGGCAGGTGAGTTTTATGTACTCAATGCACTACCAAATGACTAGAGCAGCTTCTGTTCTGTGGTTTTAAATATTGAGAAAAGTCCATTTTGAACCTTGAACTATTGTGCTTGGTGTGACTTGAACCCCAAACTTTTGAACTGTCTATTAAATCCTGAACTTTCTAAAACCATTGAAATCAAACCCTAGAACGATTTTGAAAAATGGTTTTGTGTTAGTCTTCTAAAAAAGTATGAAAACAATTCATGGATGTCATAAGAAAATCATAAAAATACTATCTATGTGATGTGCAAGATGCGAGAGAAATTCATTTATCTTATCCAGTGAGTATCCCCACTGTACCCCTATTTTTTTCGAAGTCAGAAAAAGAGAATAATCGGGGGTACGTGTAGCCGAGTGTATCCCTGTGTCGCCTGCTTACTGCATGGATTTACAGCTGACCCAGTCGTATTGGTGCTTTCTAGTTTTCACATTTTTTGTAAACAGCAAAATGTAAAACTATTATCTAAAACCAGGGTAGGGTTTGTTGAAGTGTATATGTGGATTGCCTAGCCCTTTCCATCAGTTCGGACTTTTGGTTGCGTTGTCTAGTGCATGAAGCTTAACAGGGTTGAAGTTAAATGGCGTTTAATATGGACAGTTTCATAGTTCAGGGCTTTATCGGACTTTCAGCCATGGTTCAGGGTTTACAATAGACTTTTCTTGAATAATATTCTGATGTATGTGGGTCTGAATGTTCTAGTGCATGCATGCGTATTGTGTAGTTTGCTACCATCCGTTGTCCACTTTGTTGTATCAGACCTATAGAACCTATGTTGTCTATATATGCTAGGCGAATGTCTTATTTTGATGTTGTTGGTAATGGCCATCTTGCATGTTTGGTACTCAGATCGCACCGACTTATCTGTCCTCGTGTCTAAACCAAGGCCTAGGGCTGCTGGAGATTCTACTTCTCAAGCAACCCATACAAGATAACCGTCTAGTGCTGAAGGTATGTTTATTCAACTTGATATTTAGTTGTGGTGTTTCTGTATTTTTGTTTGTCACCTAAAACTTGTTTCTGTGAGCAGACTTTGGAACTTTGTCGTTTGTATGAACTGGAGAATGTTGGTACAAATATCATGAAGGTAAAATGTGGTTGGTAATACACGCATAACTTTATTTTTAAGATAAACACAATTTTTCATGATCATCTTGGGTTTTAAAATGCCTTATTCTTCAACTAAATATTCGAACTTAACTTTGAATTCTGTATTTAACTGGCTCAACGCTCAAGATGTCCTATCTAATAACTTTTTTTTTGTTTTAGATTGCAGGCATTTACCATTGGAAGCATGGTAGAAAAGGAACCGGGGTTTATTGGTTTCAGCAAGCTCATGATAAAGTACGACTTGATAGAATTGCTCAACAATTGTTTGAACGCATTGGGAAGTCAGTCGCAGATGATAATTTTAAGGTGTCAAATTCTCCCCTTGTTCCTCCCCTACAGTTAGTTTAGTCTTCAGTATTAACCAAGTAAAATGGATCAAAATATGCAGACAATTTAGCAGCTATATTATTCATGATAGTATCTAATAGTGATTTTGCTTGGTCAGCAATGGGAAGGGTTGCTCGAGTTACTAGGTTCAGACATTGGTAGTGCAGGTGGTCTTGAGTTCCTTCACAGGTATTTATTTCTTTTTGATTTTTTCATCAAATTATTGTTTCTTTTCTCTCCACAAGTGTGACATCAGCTTAACATATGCTTTTGCAAAGGTACCGGGATTTCAAGAGATCCCTTCAACAGGCACTAGAAGGAAGGACTGGCGAGGCTGCTCGGCAGACCGTGGAGTTTCTTATACAGGTAAAAAATTTCCCGCAGTTCAATGCTTCAATTCAAGACCACTGGCAGAAGACGTGCAAAAGAGCATGCACCTTGTAGGAATAGTTATCTTGTGTCCAGGTTTTAGATCTATGGCATTAGTTTTTTTTTTCCTTAATAGACATGTAATTTTTCTTTTGCAGCTAATGAGAAATCCTTCTACACCACAACGTTTCTGGCTGCCCCTTCTACATGACTCGGTAAGCTCCTGCTGGTTTTGATTACTATAGCACCAAGAATCTTCATTCAGCGAAATAGCTTAGCTAAATCATATTTCTTCATCTTATCTCAATCCGAATTAACATTTAAGAAGTTTGAAGTTTTGATTCCATTTTCTGTCGCCACCTTTTCTACAGGTGAAACTACTCAACTGCAAACCCCGCCCTTTACTGAATGTTGCCGAGACGACCTTGTTGCTCAATAAACTACAAGAACTGTCCATGGCCAAGTTGCGTCCTGACTTCTGCAGTAATCACCTACCAAGCCATGCACTGAGCTCTGTCAGATTGGCTTTGGGATCAAATCTTGCCCGTGCCATTCTTGAAGAAGCTTGAACTCTGGTTGTATCTGGTGGTGTGTCAGCTCCAGTTTGGTGGAGTTACTCCGCAGTTGCATTATCAGGCTCCCTATTTTGTTGTTGAGAAAGTTTGAATTCGTTCGCTCTGGTTCAGCGGCTCTGCCATAGATGTATCATATATTGTTTTTAGCTTTGGTGATCTCATCTGTCTGTTGTTTTTTATACGAATCGATGCTTGTAACTGTGTTCCTGGGTAAAAAACAAGCATGTTGTTGCATAAAATCTAGTGTGCTTATTTCTAAAATGCAGTGGACCTGTGGAAAAGAAAGTACTCCGTCCGTTCCATAATTTTTGTAGTGGTTCTAGTTCAAAGGAGTATTTCTGCTCAAAAAAATAAAAATCTGAACGACTTGGCCCATTGTCACTGGGAGAATGTTCCTTCCTCCATAAATGTTTTTATTATTGGATAGAGCAAATCTTCTAAATTTGACCCTTGTGCACAAGGATGTCCACGTTGACTGGTTGTCAGGTGTGATTGTGAATACCATTTTTGTTTGTGTAGACAAAAGTTTCACTGGACTGAGGGCAAGACATTAGCCGCTTTTTGGTGAGCTTTAGCAACTCGTAGCCAGCCAGCATATAATCGGATGGGCATTTTCTTTTCTTTCTAAATAAATATAATAATGATCACCAGTGAATTCGATCTGGAAACTTCGTAGAGCCAAATCGCCAAACAAGCTCAGTACTCCACTGCTACGGTACGCAGCGGCTTGACTGCAGGGCACCAAGACAGCAGCTACACCAACAGCCTTCCTTGGTCTGCTCCCCCAACTCCACCGCTCTGCTGAGCCGCCATGGCGGAGCTGGAGGCCGGGTCCATCTCCATGGCGGCCGGCGGCGGCGGCCGACTCCGGAACGCCCTGAGCGGCGTGCTGTGTGCTTTCACCCTCCTCCTCATCGGCGTCCTCGCCTTCTCCATCCGCCTCTTCTCCGTAAGATCCACGCCAACGTTCTCTAGATCCTATGGCCAACTCTTTGGCCGCCTCACATGTCCCTGGTGGTGGTGGTGTGCCGCAGGTGATCAAGTACGAGAGCGTGATCCACGAGTTCGATCCCTACTTCAACTACCGCGTCACTCAGGTCAGTTTCGGCGGCGTCGCATTGTTGCCCACTGTCCGTTGCTCAGGTGCGTGTGGAGTGTAGCAGCACTGTGAAACTGAGCTCAAGGCGTAGCAGGACGCGTTGCTGTGTTTGTTCGGAGCGTCATCGCATTCGAATTTTGGGAACTACGGTTGTAGGAAGCTTCGTTTACTTTCACGTGCTAGTACATGGTAGTGGTATTAAGCGGTGAGAAAATTGGGACGAATATAGGTTTTTTTCCCCCAATGTAAGGGCAAGCATCCTGGCCTCTGCATATGATTGGGGACTTGGGATGTGTTCTTTTGTGTAATTTGCTGCTTACATTTTCCTACAACTCTTGGTGTTCCAAAAGGATTATATCTTTTATTCGCTATATGTTTCCCTGCCTTGTCTCAGTTTTTGTCAAAGAGTGGAATCTACGAGTTTTGGAACTGGTTTGACGACCGAACATGGTATGGTTGCCACTTGCCAGGACACATGAATCATTCAGCGTGCGTTATGAATGTTCATCGTCTCATACTGTTATCTGTATATTAGGTACCCCCTCGGACGTGTTATTGGTGGCACTGTCTATCCTGGCTTGACACTGACGGCCGGCACGATATGGTGGTATGTAAAATGTTTCATTCCATAATCCGTAGCATAGAGCAATGCGTTGTTGGATAGCTTTGAAAAACTGCGAACGCGCCTCGAGTGTTTGGTTGGTACAGGTTGCTCAACTCCCTCAACATCCCATTGTCGGTGGAGACTGTCTGCGTGTTCACCGCTCCAATTTTTTCGGCAAATGCTTCCTGGGCAACCTATCTGTTGACAAAGGTTGTTTTCCTGATATAAGAATCACATGTGCTTACACTAGTTCTACAACCACAGAAGTTCTGTAGTAACTATGTACTTTACCTTCCAGGAAGCGAAGGGTCATGGGGCTGGTTTAATGGCAGCAACTATCTTAGCGATGGTATTCTCTGTTTCTTTTATCTTTTCTTTATGGAGGGACTGCTCAGTTTGGCCATGAGAAAATTAAGTTTTTTTTATATGCCTACCTGATTTATATTTCTCATTTTATACCTTGCTGCTTACACTTGTGTATTGGTACTTTGCTGTGAGTTCCAATGGACAAATGTAGGCTAGGTCTGTTCGTCCATTCGTTTGTGGGTAAATTAGAGAATGGGGATACTTTGATGCGATATTTCTGTTAGCTTTGTAAAAATTGCTTCCATATTTCCAACTGTATGAGCAAAAGCTTTTGTAAATTTGTGTCTTCATTCTTCCTAGCGGAATAACTTTTTCACATCCCAATCCTCATTCGTTAGGTTATTCTCAATTATCTCTTTTCTGGAATAGTTGTCAAATCACTTCTCAGCCGATCAATGTTTAGGAGTTGAATTTGGCATTTCCAAACAAAGGAGTCATATTTTGGTCCTCTGGTTCGAGCTCCGGTTGATTTTACGTCCTAATCATTTCAAGTGAGCTTATTTGGTTCTTCGACTTCACTATTTATCCGAAAAACCTTCTGTAACCGACAAGGTTCATTTCTTACATGTCAAAAACAGGAAAATTCAGAGATTTTACAACTGTTTAATCACAAGAATCAGTATCTAAAAACTGAGAGCTGAATGATCGAAGCAGCTTCATTAAAAAAGTTGAGGTCCAAGAATGGCCTGGCCTGGGAAAATATGAAAAATAGGGACTGGAACACAAAGCTGAGAACCAAAATATTTCTGAATTATGGAAGTTGAAATTTCCTGTGAATAAAAATCCTAATGATCATTGAGCCATGGGGTAAGGCTGTGTTTTTCTCATTTATTTGGGATCTGCGACCATGAGACATCATCTTTCCTTTTTTTATAAATATGCCTACCTACTGCTACTATATCCTTATACACTATCTTGTAAATAGCACTTGATCGAGAAACTACTTATCATTCCTCCTAATACGCAGGTCCCCTCATACATCTCAAGATCTGTTGCAGGCAGCTACGATAACGAAGCTGTAGCAATATTTGCTTTAATATTCACATTTTATCTATATGTAAAGGTTAGGTTCTCAAAGCGTCCTTAGAATTTTAGGCCTTGTTCATTTTAACCTTCTCTTTGTGCCTTCAAGAAGATAACATAATGATGACTATGCAGACACTAAACACGGGGTCACTCTTTTATGCAACACTTAGTGCTCTCTCTTACTTTTACATGGTAAGTTTCTATTCGAAGATGTTTAGAATAGCTACAAGTTTCAGAAAATTCTTCACATTATACTGCATTTCCGCTTTTCAGGTCTGTTCCTGGGGAGGCTACACATTCATCATCAACCTTATCCCAATGCATGTTCTCCTGTGTATTGTAACTGGTCGTTATTCTTCACGACTTTATGTTGCTTATGCTCCCCTTGTAAGTCGATAAGTCTAATGGCTTACCAATTGGTTATGCACAAAAGAACAGCACAGATTCTCATTATCATGATTAGCACCATGCAGGTTGTACTGGGAACACTTCTGGCAGCATTGGTACCTGTGGTTGGTTTTAATGCAGTATTGACATCAGAGCACTTTGCATCATTTCTGGTACACCAATTGATTATCTACCTACGCATGTGTTCCTTTTTCCCCCTTAAATTGTCTGATTTCACCCAATTTTTGTATATCTGTTAAAAAATTGCTACTCCCTCCAATCCATATTACTTGTCGCTCAAATGGATGTATTTAGCACTGAAATACGTCTAGATACATCCGTTTGAGTGACAAGTAATATGGATCGGAGGGAGTAATTGCTTTCTCTTTATTTCTGAAAATGATGATTGAATTCCAGGTGTTTATAATCCTCCATGTGGTTGCTCTTGTGTATTACATCAAAGGACTTTTAACTCCTCGGCTGTTCAAAGTGGCCATGACATTTGTACTAACGGTTGGCTTGTAAGTTTCTGATGTCAAAACCAGTTAATGTGCGTTAAAAGACATGTTACACTTGATACTGGTTCATAATATTGACAGACCAAACATTTGTTTCTCATAAGTCAAAACAAAGTAGATGTTCTGTACACATTCTAATATCAAGGATTCCTGCAGAGCCCTTTGTTTCGCTGTAGTAGCGATACTTGCTGCATTGGTCGCATCTAGCCCAACAAAAGGTTGGAGTGGGCGCAGTTTGAGTCTACTTGACCCGTAAGTTCTCATAAAGTATTTGTTTGGCGCAAGACTTGTTCTTGTTTTTGTTTCACTGATAACAAAGCCTTCACTCTGGTTAACAATAAACATGACAATTTTAATTGGAATCACCTTTCCTCTGGATTTGGAGTTTCTAAAGAGATATGCTACCTTCTAGGTTTCCGCATTAGTACAAAAGAATTGTGATTTCTATTAGAGTGAATTCCAGTTTTTACTCCATACTCTGACGTTTTTGACAGAAATTACCCCATTTAACAGTTTTTCATCCGGATTACCCCATTTAGTAAAAGTTTTGCCCCCATTTAAAAAAATTACGAGTTTTTATCCCATTTAGTGATCTATCAGGTGAGCCCTGGTCATCAGGCACACATGGCGTGCCACATTGCATTTTTTTTCTGGCATCTTTTCCCGTGCCTGAACCGGTCAAATGGCTAGAATACAGTTTTTTCTCACGGTCGGCAGATGTACGTACGTACCACTTTGCCTTGATAAATTACTTCTTCATGTCACGCAGCTCCTTGTTCATTGTTTCCACCTCATTCTTCTTCACGGCATTTGCTTCTGGAGCACTGCTATATGTACGACAGGCCTTATCCGATATTTGTATGATGATTTGGATCTGACCTTGCAGCATTTGGGCAAAGGAAATAAAGACCATTGGATTTAGCATCGTGCTCATATCGTACAAGCAATTATCATATGTGCAGTAGTTCCGTTGCTTCTGGGTGTTGCATGTACTAGGCATAATTCCATTGATGCTTTGTATGGCAAAAGAACCACTGGAGAAGCTATCCACAACCTAAAATACTTTAAATGGGGTAAAACTGGCAAAACTTTTGTCGCATGGGGTAATTCGAATGAAAAGCTATTAAACGGGGGTGGGTAATTAGCGTAAAAATATCAAAGTAGGGGGTAAAAAATGGAATCCACTCTTTCTATTACCCACGATGTACTGATAACTTGAAATTTATTCTGTATACAGGATGGACATAATTCTGGTTCCTGTTTATGATGAATTCTTCTTCTGTTTTCTATATAAGTTGATGCCTTGAATTCCTTCGCTTTGTTCCATTCTGACAGAACATATGCAAGCAAGTACATCCCTATCATTGCTAGCGTGAGCGAACATCAACCACCTACCTGGCCTTCTTACTTTATGGCTATCAATGTGCTAGCCTTCTTAGTTCCTGCTGGGATCATAGTAAGCATTCATGTTTTGTTGGAAAATGGATTTTACTTCGTGTTTAGCATGGTTTTAATTAATTTATTGCAACACAACCCGCAGTCATGCTTCTTACCTTTATCTGATGCAAGCTCATTTTTGGTCTTGTACTTGGTAACTTCAGTATATTTCTCTGGGGTAATGGTAAGTCATCACTGCTAAGACATTTACAGTACCGTATTGCTTTATTTGTCAGTTGATAGTGATGTTAGTGCAATGTTAGGTACGACTGATGCTTGTTCTTGCCCCTGCTGTGTGCATTTTGTCCGGGATTGCTCTGTCAGAAGCTTTTAACGTCCTCACACGATCAATGAAATTTCAGCGCCCAATATCAGATGATACCCTTCCTACTGTATGATCATTTCATTAGTACTATTTTTCTATTTTTCTTATCCAGATTTAGTTTCTACAAAAGGTTTACTGATGTACTCTCCTGTCAAATTTAAGGCAGGAGATAGTACCCCAGGGAGTTCCAGTACAGCCACTATCACAACTTCCACGAAAAATGCGAACATAAAAAAAGAAAAAATGGGGACTATTTCAAAGGAAAGATCATCAAAGAAGAGTCGGAAGGAAACAGAATTGGTGGGAAGTTCTCCTGTTAGGCCCGAAAAGGAGGAGAAGCTTTGTGTACTGCCTTCTGAAGCATCTGCCATGGGTATACTGTTCCTGATCATGCTTTGTGGACTTTATGTGGTAAGGTATCTGTTCTCACTGGAAGCAGCATTCTCATTAAAAGCGACGCTATTACTTAACGATGCCATTTTTGCAGATCCATTGTGTATGGGCAGCTGCAGAAGCATACTCTGCACCCTCAATTGTGCTGACATCACGTTCACACGACGGGTTGCATGTTTATGACGATTTCCGTGAATCTTATGCATGGCTGCGCCATAACACAGAAGTAGACGATAAGGTATGCCTTCGAATGGACCTACTCTGATCACTTGAATTGCATCATTCTGATAGAAAGATGGCAATGATTGCTGTAGGTTGCGTCATGGTGGGACTATGGTTATCAGACAACTGCAATGGCCAACAGGACTGTGATTGTAGACAATAATACCTGGAATAACACGCACATAGCGACAGTTGGGACAGCAATGTCATCCCCAGAAAAAGGAGCATGGGAGATCTTCAATTCCTTAGATGTCAAATATGTGCTTGTGGTCTTTGGAGGTTGATGTGTTTTGGACTTGCAGAAATAACAATATTCTAAACAAAGTGCTTCCTGAATCCCGACCCCATAAAACCTGACGATTTTATTTTCAGGTCTTATTGGCTACCCAAGTGATGATATTAATAAGTTCCTCTGGATGGTTCGAATCGGAGGTGGTGAATTCCCTCACATCAAGGAACAGGATTACCTTGTGAGTGGTGAACTTGTGTTCTGCAACTATCGTGCATATCATTCGGTAGTGTCGTGGTAGAAAACTAAAAATATCAGTTTGCATTCTAGTATAACATGTGGAAGAAAAGCACCATCAACTATGTGAAATTTCAGACTTCTTCTGAGTTATTATGCTATATTATTTCTATAGAGGGATGGCAACTACCGTGTTGATGCTCAGGGTACTCCAGCGATGCTGAATTGCCTCATGTACAAGCTTTCTTATTACAGGTATGTCAGTGCAAGGAAGTTACCATGCTGATGTATCACAATCATGGATTTTCTTGACATTTGTTCTCCTTTGCATCTAGATTCGCTGAGACTGATGGCAAGGGATTTGACAGAGCGAGAAGATATGAAATAGGAAGGAAGCATTTTAAACTGACCCATTTTGAGGAGGTACAGTGCTACTACTCTTCCCTCCAATCATTTAGAAACCAGAACCCCCCCTCACAGCTTTGCTTGACTGCACCTGCAACGTGTTCATGTACCATATTGCTTAATGCAGGTTTTTACAACCCAGCACTGGATGGTTAGGATTTACAAACTGAAACCACAAAAGAACAGGGTCCGAGGAAAGTTGAAACTGAAATTGAAATCTGTAAGTCAGACAACACTACAGCTTGCCTACAATCATGTATACGTCATTAATTGACGCAGCTTTAGTACAAGTTTGATCTTTAGCATCTTTTCCTTTCTTCTTGACTGCAGAGTTCGAAAACAAGTTTAATGCGCAAAGGGGCTGGAAAGAAGAACCCATGGCGATAGTCGAATAGAGAACACAAGTAAAGAACACAAACTCACTATTTGGCTTGCCCAAAGTTCCCGAACTCGGGAAAATTACACGCTGATGAGAAGAGCTTGGTTAGAGATATCCACATTTTTGTATACTTTGCCGTGCGTCACATTTTTTTCCTCTTACACCTCCAGTATGGTTCTGTGGTGCAAAGAGAGGAAAGCGTTATCCCAGATGCAGGAGATTCCATTTCCCATGTAGCAACTGAGTGAGAACCGTGTTAACATTGAAAATTTTGAATTATGTCAACGAGTGAACTACTGACAAGTGGCACAACTTGCTATGTGCTGTATACAAGGTTGCACCTTGCTGTCACCGTCACCACTTCTCCCCGAGCAAGTGCCTATGATACCTTGAAATGGTATGATTGACACTGTTAGAAAAAGTACTGTTGGCACTCAGTTTTTTTAACTTGTATAAGAGTTACAGTCAACAGCCTGATCATCGTCATCAAACTGAGGCATGCTCTTCTTCGGGATTAACTTCTCGCAGCTTATACAGTTCATCTCTCGGCTTATTTTAGATAATCATTCGTATCTGACATTCAATTCTTCAAACTTTTACCTGCAGTTATATTTGAAGCGGTGAGGTCTAAAAATATACACTTTTGGAAAGAGTTGTTCTGTATGCGGCATCCTAAGCCTGAGAAAGCTGGAAGCCTGGAAGAGTTTGAATTAGTTTTGGTTGGGTGCGCCAGGCCAGGGCAATAGTGCAAGAAAGAATTCCTTGTTTAACACTATTTTAAATTCTGTTTCCCTATTTAACACTGGAAAAATGTTTCTTCTCTATCTAACACCAACTTTAAATTTTGTTCCCAATGTAACACTTTCGTCCATTTTTTGACCTAACGGTGTTAAATGGAATGTGAAAGGACAAGTTTACCCTTGGTTCTGGCTGCAAAAACTCCTCGAAGCAGGGTGGTGGGGATGGCTCAAAATAGCGTACGTGGTTTGTGTCCCATTTGTACACATTCAATCACCAAGTTGTAGTTGTACGTACGTGGTTCGTGTCCTAGGCTGCTGCTATATATACATATACTTTGTAAGACCGTGGATTGAAGCAATAAAGTAAAATCACCACTCAGGATACGTACGTGTGACAATCAGCCGAAGTCTCCTACGTACATGTTTATTTTCTATTTTTTGTTGTACGTACGTCGGTACGTGCTTGGAGATCACTAGATCAGCGAGCTGAGGCCAACTTTGCATTCTAGTGCATCGGGCTTCGTAAGGTGAGTCTCGACATAAAGTATATCATCGGGTTGAGCCGACTTGGGACAGAAACCAAGACAATCAACGTTGCTTCACTTAGTCGTCGTTTGACAGTGTCGTCGTAAAGTACTCTTTTTTTTTTGCGGGGGTCGTCGTAAAGTACTCGATGGCGGGTCTGCCTCAACAATGACCAAGGTGCAGCGGATGGGAGCGGACGAGTGTTGAGCGAGCCCGTGATCGAGTGTTGGTTTTAGAATGCCGGATCGATTCACCCAAGTAGTACGTGCATTGCTAGCTCAAAAACACATGCAGCTTGATTAACTTTTCCCTAGAAGCAGAACGTGCTCATCTCTAGCCGTGTATGTACGAACGTACTTGGAATCTTGCTTATCCTAGCTTGGCGAATAGAATGAACATGTCAAAGAAAATGGTTGAATAGATGTTCAAGGGCAGAATTGTCATTTCATGTGCCATTTAACACTGTTTGCACAAAAAATGGATGAAAGTGTTATATTAGAAATAAAATTTAAAGGTTATGTTAGATAGGGAAGAATTATTTTTTCAATGTCAAATAGAGAATAAAGTTTTTGTACTGTTAAATAAGGAATTCTCTCATAGTGCAACACCCAGGCGACACATGTAGTAGCAAGCTACTATTATGAACTCACTCCCACAAATAATAAATTTAATATCATTGTGGGTACATGGCCCATATATCAGATATTAAACTGATAAGAACAAATACTACACTTGATCTTAGCCAAAAGGCCTATGAATTCTCTTGTTGCCCTGCCTCTCATTTTATACACCTCTCGCGGCTCGCTCCGCTCAGCGCAGGCGAGGTGGGACTAAACTAGCATCACGCGCATGCTCTGTGTGTGAAGCAGTTTCCATTTTTTAGGGCTGGGACGGCGTAGCTGGGCTCTTCTTAACTCAATCCCCCAAGACCAGGCCCAGATCGTAACGCAACGACCTCGCTGCGAGTAAACGATA